GAGGCTTCCACTCTGCTTCCGTTTCTAAACCTCTCTTTCTGCTCAAGAGAAAAAGGAAGAAGAAAACATTTCTTGCTCTGAATTTTGCTCCGTATCTGTTACTCGGCAAGATTTAATGGCTGACGTTGCGGAGAACGCCACCGTAACCGTTCCTGCCGCAGGGGTAGTCGAGAGCAAACCAGCGGCGGAGCAGCAGCCAAAGCGATGGGCTGATGAAGCAGACGAGGAGGCCCCGGAGGAACCTGGCGCGCCCTCCACATCTGAAGATAGAGTTGCTGCGGAGTTAAGTTTTGAAAACTTGGCGATCGACGTGGAGAAGAAGACAAACAAGTTCCTTGATGAACCCCATGATTCTCATATTAGATCCGTATGTTCTCTTTCTCTATCTACGCTGCGAGCTTTTCCTTCCGTTTTTGAAGTTTGTTTGATGTTTGTGTTGTTTTGGAGGATTTTCCTTTTAATCGAGATCCTGAGTTGAGCATGGATACACTGAGTTTTTGGGTTTTGTGTTTTAACTTTTAGAATTTTGCGCTTATGTGGTTGTTTGGTTACCGAGAAAGCGTCTGAAAGTATGACTAATTGAATTGGGCTCGTTTTTTATGCTTACTTAACAGTTCACTGTTTTCTAAATTAGTCTTTCCTGGATAATTTTTTTTTCTAAGTCAAATTGGAGTGTTAGATTCGTTTATTAAGGGATTCTGTAATATACTCTATTTTTACTGAGAATGAAGCAAAACTTTGAGTTCGAAATTTAATAAACATTAACGTTCTCTTACTTTTTTGGATCATTAGGCTGAAACTTTGACGGTTTAGTGGTTAATGTTGCAAGGGATTTGGAGATGGAATTGGAAAGTCTTTTTCATGGTTTCTGGAATCTAAATTTAGTTTAAGACTCTTTACTTGTTTGTTGGCAGTAAAGTCTGGAATTTGATTTCACGTAGGTTACAGCTGGTGATACCCCATATACATCAGCAAGTACATTTGAGGATTTAAATCTCTCAGAAGAGTTGCTCAAGGGCTTGTATGTGGAAATGAAGTTTCAGAAACCTAGTAAGATCCAAGCAATTAGCTTGCCTATGATATTGACCCCACCATACAAGGATTTGATTGCTCAGGCACATAATGGTTCTGGCAAGACCACTTGTTTTGTTCTGGGGATGTTGAGTCGTGCTGATCCAAACTTGAAGGTTCCTCAGGCAATCTGCCTTTGTCCAACAAGAGAGTTAGCAGTCCAGGTTTGTATCTCTTCTAAATTAAAAAAGAAAAAAATAAAAAGCAATGCAAATTCATTGGCAATATCCATCTGTGAACTGGCATGTTGTTCAAAAGCATCATGTTTTGAAACATTTATGAGTTGGTTATATGAACCAGAATCTTAATCGTGATTTTACGATTTGGAGATCATACAAGAGAGTAATGAATTGATGTCTGTATTTCAGAAATTAAATGAAGCCAAGTTTAAGTTGGGTTTCTGATTTCAACAACTGAATTTTGCAGAATTTAGCAGTTCTTCAGAAGATGGGGAGGCACACTGGGATAACTTCTGAATGTGCTGTGCCACAGGAGAATAGCTTGCCTATTACAAAACGTGCTCCAATTACAGCTCAGGTAGTTATTGGTACTCCTGGAACTATCAAGAGATGGATGTCTGCAAAGAAATTGGGTGTAAGCTGTGTGAAGATTCTTGTGTTTGATGAGGCTGATCACATGCTAGCTGAGGTAACCTTGTAATGTTGATATGTGTCTGTTTTTGGTTCTCTTACTTGCATTGATTAATTTTCTGCTAAGTTGTTTGCTTTTGGTACCTTTTGTGGGATACAATTCATCCTGGGTTAGCTAGGCATAACCTACAATGTCTTACCTGTTCATGGTGGACATATGGTAGCAAATTGAAGCTGTTCAGAAAAAATTTGCTTTGGTGTAGGACATTTTAATAAAAGTGAACCTCATCTAGATTTTGTGTGAACCATTGACTTGAGGGATAAAAGTTTTTGCCTTACTGGTCAATGGACTGACTTAAATGGAAACTTGCCATCTAGTTAGGATCGACACAGAAGTGTAAAATACTCTTGCTGCTTAGTTTTCTACGAATATGCAATGCTGCTGTAGTTTACTATTTTTGACATGATTTAGAGAAGAATATGTAGGTTGTGACTTTGTGAATGGTTTGGATTAAATCAAATGTTTGGTGATCAAATTGTAAATTACCAAGAAGTGCTTAAAAAGTAAAATTAATATGTTGCAAGGATACTTATTTTGGGGGTGTTAGAGTTGCTTGAGAAGGTTGTTTTGAGCATGTTTATGTTAAGGTCCCCACGATATGGTGAGATGGATAGGAAGTTCGCATGAGAATGGTGGGGGATAGAAAATAACTATCATCAAACAAATGGTGGATATCTGAAAGGTGTCCAGAAGATGGTGTGGTGGAGAGAAGTTCATATGAGAATTTGTGGTGTGGGGATCTAAACATAACCATCATGATCACAAAACAAATGGTTGAAATCTAGAACTGATGTGCAGTTAACTGATTTATTTTTTTCCCTGTTTTATTATTGAGAATTACTCTGAAGTTGGCATATTTCAAGTGAATAGTGATAACGTTGATTTGTTGAACTCATGATCCAATAATATAATTTTGAGCTAAATAGATGTGTTATTGTTCCTTAATTGCTCATGTAATTGAACTTTCTGCAGAGTGGCTTTAAAGATGACTCCTTGAGGATAATGAGGGACATTGAAAGGGTCAGTTCTCATTGCCAGGTTGGTATTTTAGGAGTTTGTGTGTGCTTGAGTCCAACTGTCCTTCCAACAGTCATTCTCTATGTGCTTACTGTCCACTCAAAATTGTGATCAAATGTATTGTTATGAATAGAAATTAATTCTTAAAAATATTTTGTGATAAAATTCTAGGGTAGTTATAATTTATTTTCCTGGATACTCAGTTATAGCATGCTTGTAGGAGAGCTATAAACTGAATTGATGAGATGTGTTGTCTGCTTGCTTAAAACGGTAAATCAGTCAGCATACTCTTCTTTTAGCATCCTTGATTAGCTGCATTTATCATTGGTATAAAGACAAACATGAAATATATTGATGACATTCAAGGATGGAATTGTTGAGGACCTTATGATCATATTTCGGAAGCATATTTTTTTGATTGGTGCTAGATAGTATTAATTGATTGAGTTCTTTTGTTTTTTTTTTTTTTTTCTAATTTTTTAAGGTTCTGCTGTTCTCTGCCACATTTAATGAGACTGTCAGGAATTTTGTACAAAAGATAGTGAAAAATGATTACAACCAGCTTTTTGTAAGGAAGGAAGAACTAAAATTAGAGTCAGTGAAGCAGTACAAGGTTAATGTTCCTGATGAACTCTCCAAGGTTATGGTGATTAAAGAGAGAATTTTGGAATTTGGAGAAAGTCTGGGGCAGACAATAATATTTGTACGCACGAGGAATAGCGTGAGTGTGTTGCACGATTCCCTTGTTAAACTTGGTTATGAAGTTGGTCAAATTGTAGGCTCTATGAGTCCAGAAGTCCGTGAGAATATAATCAAAGAGTTCAGAGATGGTTTGACAACAGTTCTTATAGCTACCGATGTTCTAGCCTGGGGTTTTGACCAGCAACAGGCATTCTTTCTTTCCCTTGCTCAGAATACCCTACATTTTCTTGCCTGTTTAGTGCTCAATACGTGTTGACATCTTATCTTTTTATAGGTTAATTTGGTCATCAGTTATGATCTCCCTGTGAAACATGACAGACCCACTGAACCTGATTGTGAGGTGTATTTGCATAGAGTTGGTAGGGCTGGGCGGTTTGGCCGGAAAGGTAAATTTCTGAAATTGCTTTTCTCTTGATTACATTTTTTTCACTCCTAAGAACTTCAGTTATGGCCCATCAAACCTAGACTTAGTTTCAACCGTTGCTTTCTTCCCAATAAATGTTTATTGCTTGTGAAACCTGTCTTGTAGCAGGAATTATAATTTAAATTTGCTTAATTTATTTTTTCCATTTGTTATAAATTTGATTTCTTTTATTAGAAAACCTGTAGATTCAAATGTTGTTCAATATTTAATTTGTGTATAACTTGGATGCGAAGTTTATTGGACTTGCTAAACTTGACAAATTCCTGATGTACTCTAGTTACTAGGAGAACGTTTTCTTTTTTATATTATGAGAGGAGATCCAAACCCAGCTCTCGAGGATAGGGAATATGCACCTTTCAATAGAGCAAATATGCAGATCTTTTTTTTTTTCTTTGATTGATATTTGCAAAAAAGAGTAATTAGTTGGTGTGGTTAAATGTTGTGTGATCCCACAGGAGCTGTGTTTAACTTGCTCTGTGGCGAGAGGGACCAGGGGATCATGGAAAAAATTGAGAATCATTTCGGCGCCACAGTATCAGAGGTACTCAAATCATACTCCCTTTACACTTCCAAAACTTATTGAGATAGAAATTCTCCTCTCTTTTATTTCTTGTATCCTTTTGCACCATCTGATGACTTTTCACTCGTCAATCTGAGATGCAGTTGCAGGATTGGAAAAGTGAAGAGGATTTCAAGGCTGCTCTCAAGGCAGCAGGTCTTGTGTAATCGCAAAACTACACCCATTGATTTTGGCAAAAAGAGAACCACACTATCCTAGCAGATGATCATCAAATCAAGGCTTGAAGAACCGGCTTAGAGATTCTTGTGCTTTGTCATGTTGCTTTCTCCTGGCATTAGTTGTAAATTTTGACTGATCCGATTGAAAATCGATGCCTTGTTATTACAAACTGCATCATGTTCAGTTGCGTATGTTTCATCATCACCTAAATATTTGAGTGGTCAACTTCGGTTTTTCATTTTGTTCCATACGTATGGAGAAATAAGGTGTTTTTTCATTTTTGGGGGTAAAATGTAAATATATCGATAAATAAGGCACCTGCATGGAGTTGGGCTGGGGGTGATTATTGGTCAAATCTGTAAATTATTTTTTAAAAAGTGTCACATTGAAATAAATTATTACTTAAAAAAATATAGAGGTTATTTATTGTTTTAAATTTTTATTTTTAAAAAATTGACTTAAATTTAATAATTGTCATTAAATTATTTTAAATTATTGTTATTGAAATTTAACCAAAAAATTTAACTAAAATTATTAAATTTAAGTTAATTTTTAAAAAATAAAAATTTTAAATAGCAACTTACATCATTAATTTTTTTTGTGACAATTTATTTTAATACAATAATTTTAAGAGAGAATTTATATCTTTCACGAGAAATTATTTCTTAGACTTAGTTGACTTTTGAATGTAAAAATTATTGATCTTCCATGTAAAGAAATAGTTATAGTTGCCAATCAAATTGTTGAGAAAATATATAAATAAGAATGTCAATTTTGTATTATTTTTTATTTAAAAATATTAATTTTATCCGTTTCTAAATAAGAATGTCAACTTAAATTTTTTTTATTTAAAAATGTCAACTTTCAAATTTTTTTATTTAAAAATACTAATTTTTAATTTTTTGTATTTAAGAATTAATTGGATAGTAATACTAATATGGCAAATATATTTTTTAATTGAAATATTAAAAGTTCATATTTTCAAATAAAAAAAATTAAAAGTTGATATCTTTATTTAAAAATTAATAAAATTAATATTTTTAAATAAAAAAATAAAATTAATATCCTTATTTACTCATTTTCTCTCAAATTGTTAGTTCACTAAATTTGGGGCTTAAACCGCCACAAAATTGTGAAGAAACCTGCAAATTCTAATGAAGGCTTTGGTTGTCACTAATATGGTGTGTTGTATTGTTACCATATGTCTTTTTGTTCTTTATTTTTTTAAAAATATATAAAATATTAATTAAAATTAATTAAAAAAATAAAAATTAATTAAAAATAATAAATTTACTATTTTAAGATAATGTGATAAGTAAAAAGGATATTTGCCTAACATTAT